AGAGGAAGAGACGAGCTGCACACAGCCAGTGCCACAGCAGAGGAGAGCGGCATCTCGACCCCCGAATCTCTGCTGTCCACTCTGCCCACCCCCAATTAGGGCAAGAACAGGGAATAGCCATTAGATGGCAACAACTCCAAATTACTCCCCGTCCCTCCTGCCTCTGACCCAGTGACCTAAAAATCATCCACATAAAATACATATTCCCTTTTATCCACAGTTCAAAGCAAGTACAGACCTTGCCTCCTGTGGGAGGGTGCCTCCTAAGCGAATAGAGGGCAGCAGAAATCCTCCCCTGGGGAGGAAGGCGTTGCGGGAGCCGGTGCTGGGCAGCTTTCCTGCAGCACAGCGGTGGAATATCACCTTCTTGAAGAAAATAAATGCCTCATTTCTTTAGAAGTGCAGCGAAGGCTTATCCTGATGAGATGCCTGCAGCTTGTTCTAAAGACTTTAGAAGTTTTACCTGTATCAGGTAAATCCTCTGCAAAAGGTATTATATTAGAGGTTGTTTAAACACTTCTGGAAATTTCTTCAGCCCTGATAAACAGTAGTTACTGAAATCCAGCAACTTCATTTTGGGAGTCCCTTCCAGAGATGTTTATCTTTTTCTGTTTATATTTGTTGCAGAAATTTTGAGTATGAAGTTATAACTCTAGAGGCTTCTTTGCCTTATATCCCTTTCTATAAATCCAAATAAAAGTCTAGATTTTGATAGAGAAGTTCAATATAAAATGTAACTATTTTGTACTTGGACTTGTATCCAGGACTGTCTCCAGCACACACAAAAAATGAATTAAAATGCTATTTTACCTGCATTTCCTTCTTATTCCCATAACTGATTATAATGGAGACAGCTACAACATATTTTCTCTACCACGCAGGCTCTTTTTTACATTAGACAGTATCTGTTCTGCTTTAACAGAAGTCACAAGCAAAACCACTCATAAAACTGCCTTCCTGCCAGTGATATCATAGTCTAACATAACCTATGCTGGGAAAGGCGTCCTTCACTCAGGTTGATAGAGGACATCTACAAGAATGTGTAAAACAAATTTATTTTACATGCACACAGTAGTACATGCAGGGATACACACAGAAAAAAAGTAATGTTGCAAACAACATTAACAGGAAAAAAAATAATCTATTTTTAACAAGTTCACCAACTCCTTAAGGTCATTACCTACTTTAAAACTCAACTTCAAGTCAAAGGGGCAGAGATTTAGTGGACTGCGGCACAAGAAAAAGCAATCTCTGATATTAGTAATAGAAACTGTTCATTTGACATGGCGATGACAGACTGATTCAAGAGTGACAGTTGTTACCCAGCCTCCAGAAGGAATTTATTTTCTGCTAAGCAGTACGTTGAGCACGAACAAATTTCCATATGATTAAAATATTCAACTGTGTGTTCAAGCATAAAATAACTCAGATAAAATATTAATCCCATAAGTGAGAACTGCTTACTGAGCTCTTTTCATCGGGAATCACCTCTCTGCAGGTGGGCAACTTCCACAAATCTATATAATGTTCTGCTTATTTTTAGCACAGACGCTGCTTAAGCTGGTGATTGGAATTCATGCAAATATCAAAGTAGGAAAGTGTGCGGTTCACAGGGAGCATTATCAGCACTTGCCACTTTCCTCTCTGCTTCGCCAGGAAGACAGAATATTCCCAAGATTTGGTACACAGCAGTATAAAAAAAATCTGTTACGCTGATATAAAATGACACAAGGTCTATTTTCACCTGAGTATGGAAAGAAAACGTGGAGCCATGAACCTAGTCATCATAATAGAGTTGCAAAATTGCCTTGTGAAGAAAGCTTTTTTAAAAGACTAGAGGAACACTGCACAACCCTAGACATCATATGGAAATAAGAACACATAGAACACTGCACAATCCTAGACATCATATGGAAATAAGACCATTCACCACTCACCTTCATTTTTCACTTGATATCAACTCCATTTTAACACACATTTAACTGAATCAGCAGCAGAACAGCTATCAAATACACAGGGTCAACTGCTTCGGACCTTTAGGGATAGACATTACTAAAGAGATGTGGCACACTGGAGTATCTAAGGACATGGACCTGTTGGAATGGGTCCAGCGGAGGGCCACGAAGATGATCAGAGGGATGGAGCACCTCTACCTCTCATGTGAGGACAGGCTGAGAGAGCTGGGGTTGTTCAGCCTGGAGAAGAGAAGGCTCCGAGGAAACCTCATAGCAGCCTTCCAGTATCTGAAGGGAGCCTACAGAAGAGCTGGTGGGGACTCTTTGTCAGGAAGTGTAGTGACAGGACGAGGGGTAATGGTTTTAAATTGGAAAAGGGGAGATTTAGATTAGATACCAGAAATAAATTCTTTATCCTGAGGGTAGTGAGGCACTGGAACAGGTTGCTCAGGGAAGTTGTGGCTGCCCCATCCCTGGAGGGGTTCGAGGCCAGGTTGGATGGGGCTTTGAGCAAGCTACTCTAGTGGGACATGTCCCTGCCCAGGGCAGGGGGGCTGGAACTAGATGATCTTTAAGGTCCCTTCCAACTCTAACCATTCTATGATAATTAATCCTATTCTTTGATATTAGCAAAGATGACATGATGAAAGATGAAATCAGCAGATGACATGGTCGTTCACCACCTAAAAAGCATACAAGCAGTGATATGGTTGAAAAAGCAGAAAAAGGAAGACCGGAGGGTGCCTTGAATGTGTTGCAAGACTGCTTTACACAGGATACCTGTTTGAATAGGCTCTCCAGGTAAGCTCAGGTTCTATATCCCACCTGGACTAATCCTCACGGAGGGGAATGCTGGACCCCAGGCCCTCCCAGGCCAAGACCGGAGGACTAGTTCCGTCTCAGTTACAGGCACTTGCAGCTCTTACCCCGCAGCGAGCAGGAAGTCAGTTATAGGAAGCTCCACAAAGCACAGATTGCTCAGGAGATCCCTTACGTGACCATAACGCAATCACAACAAAAAGCTGTGGAGCAACGTCTCTCTCCATTGCGCTGCAGCGCTAAGGTGGCACTTCAGTTCTAGAGAAGTACTTTTAGCCTGTCTCATCGTCCGAACGCCTCCACTTCAATACTAACTTTGAGATAGTGCCTGCAGCCCAAATCAGGGACAGAGACTCCAGAATACCAGAGACAGCACACATGCAGCTAAAAATCAGTATGTAAAATACTCAAAGACAAAATATTCATCACCTCCAGTAATTACTTTTTTTTTTTTAAAAGCTTGCCATAAGTAAGAGTAAATATTTGGAAGTCAACGTGCTGAAGACAGCGTTAGCTTTTTTCCAAACATCAAATACCCAACCAGCCACCCGGCTAGCTTACAGAACACCATTTCACCCACAGCAGCTCTCACGTTTTATAACTTGAGACGTTATTTCAACCCACCAGAACCACTGGACCTACTGAAATAGTCTCAAAGGCAATGCACTGGTCTTCAGAGCTGAAACACTGAGTGAAAGAGGACTTCTTAATAAAAGAAAAAACACTGCCCCGTTGATATGAAAGCACCTGGCAAATCTAACAGCATTATGAGAAAGAAGGTAATAAAAGAATAATCAAACCTATTATTAGATTTCACATGCATTAGAGCAAACAATGCTAGAGCTGTGTTGTTATTGATAGCCTTTTTTTTGTGCCACAATAAGACATTCCAGGCCACATTAGTCACAAATCATTGCTAAACTGACCTTACGGTCTTACAGGTATTTCAAAGAGACACCACACCAGAGCTGAAGGTTTAGGAGGGCACAACATCAGCAGAGAGAGAAGTGGCAAAAACACCACAAGAGGAAGGTGGTAAAAAGCGTTTCACTAGAATATAGGACTTTTTGCCCGTGGATTACTTGCAAAAATGTCTAAGGAAGGTACCTAAGATAAAAATGGATCATCAACAGGCTTTGAACTGCTACAGAGATCAAAATATCCCTGGAAAATCCCTGTGGTATATAGAAGGTCAATCCCCACTAAACCAGAAGCAGCCACAAGACACTTCCCTTGTAAAAAAATAGAGAAAGAAGGAACCATAGCACTTCCTTAGTAAAAGAATTCAATTTTAATTGTGTGACAATATGCAAAGCAATAATTTGGAAATTCCAGTTTCCAAGCAACGCCCTATGCTTAAAGAAAAAGGATTGAAAATATTCTAGAAAAAAAATATGCTAGCAGCACAGCCATCAAATATAGAAATATGCCTTTTCTGATTAAGATAAATAATTTCAAATTGAGAAAGCCTTTGGGAAAAATGAAAAAATGTAATTATCAGAATTGTGAAAAATATTTTAACCACGGAAAATGTTTACGTATGGGGCTCCCACCAGCTCAAGTAACTCACCAGTAACATCAAAATCTTACACGTATATAGCTCTATAAAAGTAGAAATCCAGATTTTCAGCATTATTCTAGACCAACAATAGTCTAATTCTAGACAACTTACAGAGGCAACTGCTCTCTGAATCACTAAGTTTTGTTGACTCCTGTGTGGCACTCAAAGACACATCATAGAAAGAACCAACCCTCTGCAAACTGTCATTAAAAAGAAAACAGAAGCTCAGATCCTGATAAAACTGTTAACAATTGGAAGTCCCTGCCTCAACAGCCGGTTGAAGACATGCTACTACAAAAATTCTTCAGGTATAGACACTTTGTAAAATTCTACACCTTCCATTATACGTTAGCTTTTCTTCTTCAGAAAGGTATGAAACAGATTGCACCTGAGATCTTATGGGTATTTCCTCACTCCAAAGTACCCATATCCCCAGCACAGGGGAAAGCGTTCCTCGTTGGATCAAACGTACGCTCAAGGAACATAACTCGCCAGAATTACTGGCTTATTTCGCTATATTGCATACGTGTAAACATCATTAGAGAACAGGCTGTTTCAAATAGCATCATCTGTGCGCTGCCAAGAGCTCTTTAGCAATAGTTGGTATGGCAAGAGAGTACTCGGGCAAAAAAGAATCATAGTAAAAGAGATTACGTTTAATTTACCTTGATGAGTCATCGTGACAGGTTCTTCACTGGATATATTGTTGTAAATGACCACGGCTGTGGCATTGTGCGACGCTGCGCGCAGTATTTTCTCTCTAAAGGTGCAGTTTCCTCGCTGCAGCAGAGCGATCCACTGCTTGGTGTTTGGTGGGACCTGGAAACGCGTTCGAGGGTCACAGCCCAGGCGATCTGCAACTGGAATGGGAAACACAGTGTCACGGGTGGCATTTTGTTCAAACAGAAAGAAAAAAAAACACCACCTAACTCCAAGTTTTGCTGAATTACTTAACTCTTATGTACGAGGAAGCCGCTATCCTCTTGTTAATAAAGCCTAAAGCTAACTGTATTCTCATGAAAAAGTCTTTAAAAAAAAAAATCACAAACCATCTCACACGTTGAAAGCTGTGACTATATGCCCCAAAATGAGGCTAACACCAGCTATTTCTAACTCTAGTGCAGCTAGAACAATGAATTTACATTAGAATCAATACCTGCCCAGAGGCTGAAAAACATTAGAATATGGTTCATGTGCTACAGGCATTTTCGAAACAGCTGTTTATCAGTCATTCTGGAGAGAATAACTTTTTCTTTCCTCCTTTCTAATGCACTCAAATATCCCTGCAGTGGGAAGTATAACTAAACAAAGGAGGTTGTGAAAACAAGATCGGGGTGTTATCTGCCATGTGCAGCCTACTGTAAAAAAAGAAAAGGCCGATATTAGAAGCTGATCTTGTAAAACCCCAGCAGCCAACACCAGCTTTTTCCGTAGGCGCTTTTTCGCTAGGAGGAAGTGCTTTCAGATTCAGAGAGAAACAAGCGGTTTTGCCAACAGGCTGTCAGCAAAACAGGTATTTATTGATGGTGAAAAGGAGGGGTAACAGAAACGGCAATGGCTGAAGGCAACAGCCTGCAAAGCTCTCGTCCTTTCTAGTGCTGTGATGGATCCTCGGAACAGCCCAAACCCACATGGGGCTACGTATGAAAGGCACAAAATGCAAGGCAGACAATCTAATTTAGACTAGATACCAGAAATTTTTGAAAGCAAAACCAACCTTCTTCAACAGTTCTGATGAACTGAGATGTGGGGAGCACCAGAAAGGAGAATTTATACATCTCTGGAAGCAGAGCAGTAGCAGAGTTCACTTAAAATGGAAAGGACACTTGGTTTGGGGGCTGATTTGATTGTTTTCCCCTCACTTTTGACTGTCTTGACCATTCTACTTACACTGCATATTCCCTTTCTGTAGAAAGACTTATCTTCTGGGAAATATATTGATGTATACTTTTAAATGCATGTGACCTTTTGAGTTCTTTGTGCTAGGGCAAAAAAACCAAAAAGCCTAGATAAGGGAAAAGCAGATAGATGCTGCAATGATTTTACAGACATTTTTCACATCATTTTTCCTCTTTCAGAAATACTTCTTTGCGTCTACTTGCATTACAATTTTTTTTTAAAAGGAAATGGACATTCCACTTAAATAATGTTGGAAGAATAAAAAAACCCTTGTTACAAAAGAATTTATCATTTTATCATCACCTTTCCACAAGCTGTGCACAGATCTTTTTTATTTCATTCACAGTTTTACAAGGCATTTAACTATGTATTATGGTGAGTAAACTGCATTCGCAGCTTATTTAATGACTACCTTTACTGTTAGGATATTAGTATGCTGGCAAAGTACATCAAATTTTATATTCAAACCTTGAATAAATGTAAATGAATAAAAAGCAGGAGGGTCATGTTAAGTTTTGACTAGGGAAATGGTGTAATCCTAACACATGACACACTACTGAAAAAAGGTTACTCATGTCACAGTTTCATGTATTTCTGAAATACATAAGTGTTTCTATCTTCTAAAGGTATTTCTGCTTATTTGAAAACAACCTTTCTTCACTTATACTCCTGAACAATGTCCAAAACCTGTTACCTTAGATCTGGATTTAACATCCCATTCCCGATTACAGTGTCACATTCTTGATTAATCAATAATATTAATGCAGTGTGACCTTACTGGCCCATTCATTGAATTAAGGCACACTTGCATTTCGATAACTAAAAGTCTCTGTAATCTTGCATTCTGTAACGTAACCAGGTGCTAGTGAGTGGCTCCCATTTTGCTATTTCTGGCTAGCAGTTTGTATTCCCACTAATGGCAGCTGAAGCTGAAAAACCCAGGGAGCTCTCATCAGGGCAGCTTGTGACGCTCGAGTATTTTTTTCTATCTAGAGACAGCTTCCATACAGATTCATCGATCTGGACAGTCATTCCAAACAAATTTAGCAAAACCCAAAAGAGAAATGGCAAGAAAGCCTTGCCCAAGGACACCACGAAGTATTTTTAGAGCTTCATAAATAGCACATTCATAGGTTAATATCATAAATTTGGTTCCACCAAATCCACAGATTTTGGGAATTGCTCTGCTGCTAGAGGCTCAGACTTTGGATAAGAAAAAGAATGTAATTACTTACAGTCGCTAACAGTCCCGTGGGCCATTTCACAGCCACAGAACTAATTACCCTTTCAGCCGGCGAAGGAAAAATGAGCCGAACTGCTGTTATTTCAGTTGTGGACGAGGCACACACCACACAGAAACACCAGTAAGGAATCCTGCAAAGCACTGAGGCTACCTTAGCTTTGTAAAGGGGCTTCCCTGGCTCATCCTGAAGGGAGAAGGGCTTCCTTATGGTCCAGAATCTGTGTTTCAGACACATTCCTCTCCACATCTCCTGAAGTGTCAGACACCTCCATCTACTGCATGACAGATTTTCCTGACGGATACACCTCCAAGAAACGCAGTGGGAAACAGGATTAACTATAATGCTGTTGACACTTGTTCCCCACATTTTCCAATTAGCAAATATAATCATAAACCATGTAAAATGATCAAAGACATGTAAACTATGGTTAGACTATTGATTGTTTTCCCTTTTGTAAAGCTTCAACTTCAATGACTCATCTCTCCTTCCTTTTGACTAATATTCCAGGGTAAATTATTATTACTAAATTAAAATAACAATACTGTAACATACAATAAAATCAGTTTTGAGCTGTGGATTAAAAGTAGGTCTCAGTAATCCAGGAGAAAGAAGTTTGGGGTTTTTTTTTGCAGTGGGTTTGGTAGAGAGCTGAAGCATTTTGCCAGCACACATTTGTGTGAAATAATCTGCAATGCACCCTGCCATAGCTTTCACGCATCAGTTCAGCCTGCGGTTACGTAAAGAGACATTAGTGAGAAAAAAAGGCAAGCAGCAGAGGAAGAGACGAGCTGCACACAGCCAGTGCCACAGCAGAGGAGAGCGGCATCTCGACCCCCGAATCTCTGCTGTCCACTCTGCCCACCCCCAATTAGGGCAAGAACAGGGAATAGCCATTAGATGGCAACAACTCCAAATTACTCCCCGTCCCTCCTGCCTCTGACCCAGTGACCTAAAAATCATCCACATAAAATACATATTCCCTTTTATCCACAGTTCAAAGCAAGTACAGACCTTGCCTCCTGTGGGAGGGTGCCTCCTAAGCGAATAGAGGGCAGCAGAAATCCTCCCCTGGGGAGGAAGGCGTTGCGGGAGCCAGTGCTGGGCAGCTTTCCTGCAGCACAGCAGTGGAATATCACCTTCTTGAAGAAAATAAATGCCTCATTTCTTTAGAAGTGCAGCGAAGGCTTATCCTGATGAGATGCCTGCAGCTTGTTCTAAAGACTTTAGAAGTTTTACCTGTATCAGGTAAATCCTCTGCAAAAGGTATTATATTAGAGGTTGTTTAAACACTTCTGGAAATTTCTTCAGCCCTGATAAACAGTAGTTACTGAAATCCAGCAACTTCATTTTGGGAGTCCCTTCCAGAGATGTTTATCTTTTTCTGTTTATATTTGTTGCAGAAATTTTGAGTATGAAGTTATAACTCTAGAGGCTTCTTTGCCTTATATCCCTTTCTATAAATCCAAATAAAAGTCTAGATTTTGATAGAGAAGTTCAATATAAAATGTAACTATTTTGTACTTGGACTTGTATCCAGGACTGTCTCCAGCACACACAAAAAATGAATTAAAATGCTATTTTACCTGCATTTCCTTCTTATTCCCATAACTGATTATAATGGAGACAGCTACAACATATTTTCTCTACCACGCAGGCTCTTTTTTACATTAGACAGTATCTGTTCTGCTTTAACAGAAGTCACAAGCAAAACCACTCATAAAACTGCCTTCCTGCCAGTGATATCATAGTCTAACATAACCTATGCTGGGAAAGGCGTCCTTCACTCAGGTTGATAGAGGACATCTACAAGAATGTGTAAAACAAATTTATTTTACATGCACACAGTAGTACATGCAGGGATACACACAGAAAAAAAGTAATGTTGCAAACAACATTAACAGGAAAAAAATAATCTATTTTTAACAAGTTCACCAACTCCTTAAGGTCATTATCTACTTTAAAACTCAACTTCAAGTCAAAGGGGCAGAGATTTAGTGGACTGCGGCACAAGAAAAAGCAATCTCTGATATTAGTAATAGAAACTGTTCATTTGACATGGCGATGACAGACTGATTCAAGAGTGACAGTTGTTACCCAGCCTCCAGAAGGAATTTATTTTCTGCTAAGCAGTACGTTGAGCACGAACAAATTTCCATATGATTAAAATATTCAACTGTGTGTTCAAGCATAAAATAACTCAGATAAAATATTAATCCCATAAGTGAGAACTGCTTACTGAGCTCTTTTCATCGGGAATCACCTCTCTGCAGGTGGGCAACTTCCACAAATCTATATAATGTTCTGCTTATTTTTAGCACAGACGCTGCTTAAGCTGGTGATTGGAATTCATGCAAATATCAAAGTAGGAAAGTGTGCGGTTCACAGGGAGCATTATCAGCACTTGCCACTTTCCTCTCTGCTTCGCCAGGAAGACAGAATATTCCCAAGATTTGGTACACAGCAGTATAAAAAAAATCTGTTACGCTGATATAAAATGACACAAGGTCTATTTTCACCTGAGTATGGAAAGAAAACGTGGAGCCATGAACCTAGTCATCATAATAGAGTTGCAAAATTGCCTTGTGAAGAAAGCTTTTTTAAAAGACTAGAGGAACACTGCACAACCCTAGACATCATATGGAAATAAGAACACATAGAACACTGCACAATCCTAGACATCATATGGAAATAAGACCATTCACCACTCACCTTCATTTTTCACTTGATATTAACTCCATTTTAACACACATTTAACTGAATCAGCAGCAGAACAGCTATCAAATACACAGGGTCAACTGCTTCGGACCTTTAGGGATAGACATTACTAAAGAGATGTGGCACACTGGAGTATCTAAGGACATGGACCTGTTGGAATGGGTCCAGCGGAGGGCCACGAAGATGATCAGAGGGATGGAGCACCTCTACCTCTCATGTGAGGACAGGCTGAGAGAGCTGGGGTTGTTCAGCCTGGAGAAGAGAAGGCTCCGAGGAAACCTCATAGCAGCCTTCCAGTATCTGAAGGGAGCCTACAGAAGAGCTGGTGGGGACTCTTTGTCAGGAAGTGTAGTGACAGGACGAGGGGTAATGGTTTTAAATTGGAAAAGGGGAGATTTAGATTAGATACCAGAAATAAATTCTTTATCCTGAGGGTAGTGAGGCACTGGAACAGGTTGCTCAGGGAAGTTGTGGCTGCCCCATCCCTGGAGGGGTTCGAGGCCAGGTTGGATGGGGCTTTGAGCAAGCTACTCTAGTGGGACATGTCCCTGCCCAGGGCAGGGGGGCTGGAACTAGATGATCTTTAAGGTCCCTTCCAACTCTAACCATTCTATGATAATTAATCCTATTCTTTGATATTAGCAAAGATGACATGATGAAAGATGAAATCAGCAGATGACATGGTCGTTCACCACCTAAAAAGCATACAAGCAGTGATATGGTTGAAAAAGCAGAAAAAGGAAGACCGGAGGGTGCCTTGAATGTGTTGCAAGACTGCTTTACACAGGATACCTGTTTGAATAGGCTCTCCAGGTAAGCTCAGGTTCTATATCCCACCTGGACTAATCCTCACGGAGGGGAATGCTGGACCCCAGGCCCTCCCAGGCCAAGACCGGAGGACTAGTTCCGTCTCGGTTACAGGCACTTGCAGCTCTTACCCCGCAGTGAGCAGGAAGTCAGTTATAGGAAGCTCCACAAAGCACAGATTGCTCAGGAGATCCCTTACGTGACCATAACGCAATCACAACAAAAAGCTGTGGAGCAACGTCTCTCTCCATTGCGCTGCAGCGCTAAGGTGGCACTTCAGTTCTAGAGAAGTACTTTTAGCCTGTCTCATCGTCCGAACGCCTCCACTTCAATACTAACTTTGAGATAGTGCCTGCAGCCCAAATCAGGGACAGAGACTCCAGAATACCAGAGACAGCACACATGCAGCTAAAAATCAGTATGTAAAATACTCAAAGACAAAATATTCATCACCTCCAGTAATTACTTTTTTTTTTTTAAAAGCTTGCCATAAGTAAGAGTAAATATTTGGAAGTCAACGTGCTGAAGACAGCGTTAGCTTTTTTCCAAACATCAAATACCCAACCAGCCACCCGGCTAGCTTACAGAACACCATTTCACCCACAGCAGCTCTCACGTTTTATAACTTGAGACGTTATTTCAACCCACCAGAACCACTGGACCTACTGAAATAGTCTCAAAGGCAATGCACTGGTCTTCAGAGCTGAAACACTGAGTGAAAGAGGACTTCTTAATAAAAGAAAAAACACTGCCCCGTTGATATGAAAGCACCTGGCAAATCTAACAGCATTATGAGAAAGAAGGTAATAAAAGAATAATCAAACCTATTATTAGATTTCACATGCATTAGAGCAAACAATGCTAGAGCTGTGTTGTTATTGATAGCCTTTTTTTTGTGCCACAATAAGACATTCCAGGCCACATTAGTCACAAATCATTGCTAAACTGACCTTACGGTCTTACAGGTATTTCAAAGAGACACCACACCAGAGCTGAAGGTTTAGGAGGGCACAACATCAGCAGAGAGAGAAGTGGCAAAAACACCACAAGAGGAAGGTGGTAAAAAGCGTTTCACTAGAATATAGGACTTTTTGCCCGTGGATTACTTGCAAAAATGTCTAAGGAAGGTACCTAAGATAAAAATGGATCATCAACAGGCTTTGAACTGCTACAGAGATCAAAATATCCCTGGAAAATCCCTGTGGTATATAGAAGGTCAATCCCCACTAAACCAGAAGCAGCCACAAGACACTTCCCTTGTAAAAAAATAGAGAAAGAAGGAACCATAGCACTTCCTTAGTAAAAGAATTCAATTTTAATTGTGTGACAATATGCAAAGCAATAATTTGGAAATTCCAGTTTCCAAGCAACGCCCTATGCTTAAAGAAAAAGGATTGAAAATATTCTAGAAAAAAAATATGCTAGCAGCACAGCCATCAAATATAGAAATATGCCTTTTCTGATTAAGATAAATAATTTCAAATTGAGAAAGCCTTTGGGAAAAATGAAAAAATGTAATTATCAGAATTGTGAAAAATATTTTAACCACGGAAAATGTTTACGTATGGGGCTCCCACCAGCTCAAGTAACTCACCAGTAACATCAAAATCTTACACGTATATAGCTCTATAAAAGTAGAAATCCAGATTTTCAGCATTATTCTAGACCAACAATAGTCTAATTCTAGACAACTTACAGAGGCAACTGCTCTCTGAATCACTAAGTTTTGTTGACTCCTGTGTGGCACTCAAAGACACATCATAGAAAGAACCAACCCTCTGCAAACTGTCATTAAAAAGAAAACAGAAGCTCAGATCCTGATAAAACTGTTAACAATTGGAAGTCCCTGCCTCAACAGCCGGTTGAAGACATGCTACTACAAAAATTCTTCAGGTATAGACACTTTGTAAAATTCTACACCTTCCATTATACGTTAGCTTTTCTTCTTCAGAAAGGTATGAAACAGATTGCACCTGAGATCTTATGGGTATTTCCTCACTCCAAAGTACCCATATCCCCAGCACAGGGGAAAGCGTTCCTCGTTGGATCAAACGTACGCTCAAGGAACATAACTCGCCAGAATTACTGGCTTATTTCGCTATATTGCATACGTGTAAACATCATTAGAGAACAGGCTGTTTCAAATAGCATCATCTGTGCGCTGCCAAGAGCTCTTTAGCAATAGTTGGTATGGCAAGAGAGTACTCGGGCAAAAAAGAATCATAGTAAAAGAGATTACGTTTAATTTACCTTGATGAGTCATCGTGACAGGTTCTTCACTGGATATATTGTTGTAAATGACCACGGCTGTGGCATTGTGCGACGCTGCGCGCAGTATTTTCTCTCTAAAGGTGCAGTTTCCTCGCTGCAGCAGAGCGATCCACTGCTTGGTGTTTGGTGGGACCTGGAAACGCGTTCGAGGGTCACAGCCCAGGCGATCTGCAACTGGAATGGGAAACACAGTGTCACGGGTGGCATTTTGTTCAAACAGAAAGAAAAAAAAACACCACCTAACTCCAAGTTTTGCTGAATTACTTAACTCTTATGTACGAGGAAGCCGCTATCCTCTTGTTAATAAAGCCTAAAGCTAACTGTATTCTCATGAAAAAGTCTTTAAAAAAAAAAATCACAAACCATCTCACACGTTGAAAGCTGTGACTATATGCCCCAAAATGAGGCTAACACCAGCTATTTCTAACTCTAGTGCAGCTAGAACAATGAATTTACATTAGAATCAATACCTGCCCAGAGGCTGAAAAACATTAGAATATGGTTCATGTGCTACAGGCATTTTCGAAACAGCTGTTTATCAGTCATTCTGGAGAGAATAACTTTTTCTTTCCTCCTTTCTAATGCACTCAAATATCCCTGCAGTGGGAAGTATAACTAAACAAAGGAGGTTGTGAAAACAAGATCGGGGTGTTATCTGCCATGTGCAGCCTACTGTAAAAAAAGAAAAGGCCGATATTAGAAGCTGATCTTGTAAAACCCCAGCAGCCAACACCAGCTTTTTCCGTAGGCGCTTTTTCGCTAGGAGGAAGTGCTTTCAGATTCAGAGAGAAACAAGCGGTTTTGCCAACAGGCTGTCAGCAAAACAGGTATTTATTGATGGTGAAAAGGAGGGGTAACAGAAACGGCAATGGCTGAAGGCAACAGCCTGCAAAGCTCTCGTCCTTTCTAGTGCTGTGATGGATCCTCGGAACAGCCCAAACCCACATGGGGCTACGTATGAAAGGCACAAAATGCAAGGCAGACAATCTAATTTAGACTAGATACCAGAAATAAATTATTTGGTGTGAGGGTGGTGAGAGCCTGGCCCAGGTTGCCCAGAGAAGCTGTGGCTGCCCCATCCCTGGAGGGGTTCAAGGGCAGGTTGGAGGGGGCTTGGAGCAACCAGGTCTGGTGGGAGGTGTCCCTGCCCAGGGCAGGGGGTTAGAACTGGATGATCCTTAAGGTCCCTTCCAACTCTAACCATTCTATGATCCTATGAGTAAGCCCCCCCCGTACAGCAGTGAAACCCAGGAACAACACTTCTGCTCACACAACTGGAAACACGCAGTTCAGGCTGATCCACTGCTCACATCAGTAAAGGATTTTAGAAATTTAGAGCCAATGCTAACCTGTAACACAAATACACCTACACTTTCAAAGGCCAAGAAAATAAGAGTCTCTGGCTACTAAAAATAATTGGGATAAACAGTGACTTTTTTCAAGACATAAACAAACAATTTCTTTGCATAATAGCTCTGAAAACATTCGAGAGCCTAAGAGTGATTCAAATCAAGTGCCCCATAATATTTTCCCTTTAAAGATGGGAGTTCTTCAGCACAGACTATGGGATTTCAACCAAAGGTCTACTGCCAAAAAGATACCCAGTTTAACGTATTAGCTGGAAACAAAACAAAAAAGAAAATATCTTTTTAAGCATTCTCAGCTTAGCATAGCTCAGGTTAAAACGTGTGACAAAAGGAGAGTTAAATAGCTAAAGGATTTTCACCAAAAGAAAGAAAATCTTTTGCTCCCCCAAAATAAAAGCAGAGCAGAAGAATCTGTCTCGTGGCGGTCATACAGGAAGCCCTTGCATCTCTTAATTTGGACAAGAAGTGCCTCTCCCTGTTCCCCTGGAAGGAGGGTGGGGAGCCAGAGACAAGCACATCCTTTTCACAATTGTTTTTCCAGGCTGTATTAGCCGTTTCAGGCACAGAAGGGATAATCACTGTATTTTTGTATTTGTGCTTTTGTTTTATACAGGGATCAGGGGAAAATCTGAAGTAGAGATGGCCAAAGCCGAATTTTAAAGAGTATTTTCTTCCATTACTCTGACATTATTACTCCAATCCCTTCGGAAATTGCTAATGAGTGCTGATTCACACACATTTTGGAGCACCAGCGATGGCCATCGTGACCAGCAATGGTCACAGTGCATTTATGTATCCACTCACTGGTGTAGCTTGTTTTGTAGTCTTAAATTTAAGGGAATAATAAAAAAAAATTTAAAAAAAGAATTTTTTTAAAGGAATTACAGTTCTTTTTGAAAATGTGACAGAACCACAACATGGCACACCTGCAACTAATCCTGATGTCCTCTGTTAAGATAAAAGCAGTTTAGTAGTTAATGCACACTTTCCCTTGCTCAGAACATTTCCACTTAATGTGGGAAGGGGAAAGCACCAACAGACTGCGATAGGAAGTTTCTCGAGCCTTGAAAGGCAAAATCCCATCCTTCTCCAGTGAAATCATATTCAAGAATCTCAGCTGTGATACAGCCTTTGGAAAATACCATTCAAGAAACGGCCACAATTTCACACAATCTCCTCAATCTGCCAAAATTAACTCTGAAAGTAGACACTATGGCCAACAAATTTACCTAGAACACATCATACGGATGAAAAGCAGGAATCCTTTGGATTATGTACAATTTTTCCAGTACAACCATCCTCAAAACTAAAATACCAAGTTAATATAAAAATGGCAAAAAAATAGAGTAATGGGGTATTTGAATAAAAGAATCATAAAAGCAATAAAAGGCACCTTGAAAAGGGAGGCAGCATTCTCAAAAGTCTGCTATTATAATTGAGTTTTATAAAAAAAAAAATAATTATTTGGGCACCTTTAAATTTCTATGGCATAAAATTTGTAGCTTAAAAACTGGCAGAGAAAGTAGTAAGACATAATAGAAAAAATAGCACAAAATTTTCTAATACGGTGGAGATCAAAGTCTCTCTCAGCTGCGGACAGAGCTACTAAATGTTACTGGATAGAGCAACAGGATTAGGAAACAACATATTAAGAGATAAAAGCTTTCCAGATATAGACCAACAAACACCCCTCATGTTATTCCTGACCAGGTGGATTCAATATGTCCTGAGGAAGATTTAACAGTGAACGATATTATTTTAACACTATAAGTAATACAAAAACATTAAGGAAAACGTGGTTGTTTTAGATAAACCTGAACTGAGTAACTGCAAGTCACCTAAGATGCAATAAAAAGTCACAACCAGCTTTTCTTTACATCAGCATCCCATTTACACCACACAAACGTTAAGTAATCTTTTCACTTTTAACTAAACAGAATAGTGGAAAGCCTGAGTTTTTCTGCTTGTCTTTTCAATAGACTTAACGCACCCTGAAAAAAGTGAAAGCCTTATAATTATGGTCACTCTGTAGCATAATGAGCTGGCTAAAATAACACATCTGCTATACCCCAACGTGCCAGGCACATCAATTGTTATTGTAAGGGACACAGATAAACAGACAGTGTCAGCAAGAGTCATCATCAATAGCTCTCCATTACTGTGTCATCTCTGCTCCATCGTCCAAAGCCCAATTAGGATCTAAAAGACTGGGGCTTGCAGATATTACCTGGATGATGGCCATGCCAGAACGAAAAGCAACTTCATATTAAATTAAAGTGATCCTAAAACAAACCACTTGCACATAAAAAAAAGACAGGATCTGAAGTCACTCATGCAATTTCATTAATTTCAGAAGATATAAGCATACAGAAAGCCATCTAAGTATTTTTCGTTATAGGCATGCTACTCTTCTGGTTTATCTGAAGTGTAAGTCATTTACTCTGCCTTTCCTTTCTCCACATCTACCTATGTAACGTGAACGAGTTGGAACGAGTTGGAACAAAAAAAAAACAATTTTCCTGTGAGAAGTGGCAGCCTGCTGAGTTAAATAGCAATGTACAATGTTGTTGTAAATACCTCCTTTCCTACTGTAAGCCCTAGCACCAGCGAAGAGCCTCTTTACAGAAGGATCAGCTGCGATTTAAGTATCTACCATCAGGCTGCACGTTTGTTCCCAACTTCAGAAGCGCTTCAGTTTCCTCTCGCAGAACACACAGGACTGCTCTACTGGCCTGTAACTGCTTCTCCTTAAGCATTTTTTTTAATTTCAAGAGCCCTTCCTGCTGAAGGACTTATGTCTGTGACAGTGATTTTAGTGATTCGTGAGAAAGAAATAGTTAATGCAATAGGTCCAACCAGGCTTCCTCAACTACTGCAGAAGTATCTGCAAGCTCACATAAGAACGGCAACAGAACATTCCTCCCATTGCTTGACCAGGTCCTTTAGCCTTCCCCCTGTAAGAGGGATAGCCATTTTGTGGGAGAAAAGACGAAATTAATAGCTCAGCTGTCAGAGGCTTTGTCAGAAGCAGACTGTCTCCTACTTCTGAACTACAAATGGGTTGGTTTTCTCTCACATACCGGGTGCTTACATTGGAACACAGCTGTGATGTCTCACTTCAGCTAAGGTTGCTGCACCAATTGTTATCAGACTTTGTTCCCCTTTTACAGAAAAAAGGCCAGCGCCGTGATCCCACACCACGAGCATTAACTATTTTATACCTTTATTTTTCCCTTAAAAAAAAAAACCACCACCAAACACAACACAACAAAAAGAGTCAGGTATCTCAGTATCGATCACATCTTAGCTAATACTCCGCTCACTGAGGCCAGCACCAGCTGCCAGAGCTGCTCTGTCTCGGCTGTACACACAGAAATCATTTTAAAGTCTGACCTTCAATCACTGTAATACAATATTCCGAGGGGCAGCGGGCTCAGGAGGCTCGTTGGGAAAGAAAACATCCCATGGGAAGAGGCGGTCCCACGGCATCCCCTCCCTGCAGCAGGCACTGCCCAGGCAGGTACCACCTCGCACCCCCGACTGCCAAAACAGCCAGCCTTGTGCAACACGGTAATTATAATCCTCTGATAAAATTTCCAGAAAGGGAATTCAGCTGGGAAATCTACAGGAGCAATGCAGCCGCTCTGATTCTTTCCTATTTCAAGGAAGGGTCCTGGTTACTTGTTATCCCATTAGGGTTTAATGCACGTAATATACACATATATATTTTTTTACATGCATTACTAGTGTTATCATCAACATAGTCCTTATTCAAGCCTGTTATAGTTTCCACTTCTTAAAAACCCTTTGAACAAGAGGTAATCTTTTTTCTGGGAAGAAGTTAAACAAAAGAAAAGCCACTGAGGCTTAGAAGAGTCCTGTAATAGTTAAGATTTAATCTTGTTAGCTCAGTAAGTGTACTACAATTATGGCTATAAACTCCAATATGTAACCTCCACTTTTGCTACCAATTAATCAGTACTAATTAAGCTGGATGCTGTGACCAATGGTAATGGATAGAGGCATGCACAAGATTTTTTTTTCCCCACTACTCTGCATTTATTGGTACATTTCCTTGTTGCATTTCCCTAAAGCTTATTGTTTTGGATTCTGGGCCAGAAAGGAACACAAAAATTCTGAATGTTACCTAAGGCTCTGCAGTTACCAGGAAACTGTCATTTTAAGCTTTCTGCAGCTAAAACTCGTTCACACAACATGTTTATGAAGTGTCAGATGCTACAAAACGCTGTAGCTACAGTACCATGCACAAGATATACCTCCCTTCCTAACGTTGTGCCAATGTTGTCTCTTCCCTGCTTCCACCTTGTTCTAACCTATGTCTTTCCTCAAATTCCCAGTCGCCTTGCCCAGCCACAACCCTACCAGCCCTTCAGCAGAGATCTTGCTTTTCCATGAGCTCTTTCTCCAACGCGGCTTTCACACACTCATCGCCTCCCCACAAGCCCTTCAGGCTCCAGTCCTTTTCCATTTCTCCTCACCCCCTCATTCCTGACCCGTTTGTCCAGCACGTCTTAATGTTTTCAAGTTTGGCTTTGGGTCTGCTGGTACTTCTCCTCCTACCAGTCCCACCTGTGGTCCCAGTCACTCTGCCTGCTTGCCCACCACCCAAACCAGCCATGGTCCCACTGTCTGCAAGGGGGCTGTTGAGAGCACACTGAGGTCTCCAGTCCTCATCTCTGTATCCAAACCCACCATCACCTGCAAGCACCCAGAGCCACCAGTTACAGAAGAATCCCATTCACCATGGAGAACATTTCTGAGGGATCTAAGCCACAAAGTGCAGCAGTTTCTACCACGAATCGTTAAAGTGAGTTTTCAATGGCTTCTAGCTTGGTTTGTCAGAGCAAGAGAAATATGGCCAACACCTAAGGGTCTGCACAACTGGTGTCAGGCACCTAATAGCAAGGATGCTTAATAGCAGAAGTCACTTCCACACTGCATGTACAGACACTGCCCACGAGTACCTACGGCAAGAAAATTGGGCTGAAAAGGCTGGTTCCATAGTCAAAACCTGCAGAGTAAGGGATCGAAGGAGAAGTGCTCAGTAACCTCACCAAAGAGATGATATGAACATGAACTAAACTATCAGAAAAGCTCCATCAGACTATGAAGATGCATTTCACTGTTACCCTTCCATGTAGAGCAAGAGCATTTTTTGATAACCCATCAGCATTCATAGCCAGAAGGTGGTTAAAGCGCTCCTCTAATAAGAAGTTATTTAAATCATGACAAAAAATTATTGACTTAGAGGAAATAAGAAAAAAAGGTACCAGAAGTGGAAGAAAGATTAATAGAGAAACTCTGCCACTATTGTGCACTGAATGCGCTTGGACAGACAGACACACGTACACAGGAGCTGTATTTACAGCTGGTGGCCAACTGTGACCGACAGCTCGCCGGAGGGAGGCTGTCACCAGTCACATTCACAAGTGGTCACGGGAATTACTGCCCTGTCACTTCCAGGGGAATATTGCTTCTGAAAGCCAGTATCAGTTTCATACAAGGGTCTATAAAAAGAGCAGGGAAAGAGTTTTAATACCTGTATTAACGCGACAAGGTTGAATTCCGTTAAAGAAGTTCTGCTAAAGAAAGGGGAGAAGTGATTGAATATGTCATTCTGCACTGAAATTTAAAGGATGTTAGTCACATGGGGCTGGCAACTTCAAGAAGTAGTATATGAAATACTGGGCGTATTCAACAACACAAGTTAACAAGAACCACTGCAGAGCACAGCACTTAGAACCACAGGCTGTGCTACTACAAACAGTGTAAGTTCAGCAGCGGATCATTGGCCCTAAATCTTGAATGACTAAAATCACTTACTTCCTTGCAGGCAGTGAACGAGGGATCTTAACGCAGCATGCAAAAATGTGACATGAAGGACATTTCAGCTCTAAAATACGGATGCCCCAGTCTACACCATCAAGGTGCTAACAGACCACCCACGTTCAAGGAAATTTTAAGGGATAGCCCCCGAATGGGTGAATGCCTGACATCAATCCAGTTTCAAAGTCAAGGTATCTTCAAACATAGTTGCTAACAGTTGTGGAGTCCTTTTCTTTTTCAGATGCATGGGAACTGGGGTAGAGCATTTACTGCTCCGACAGCAGAGGCCAGTGCCAGATACTCATGTTAAGAGCTATTAGGAAAAAAAAAAAATTGCAAACAAGTTCTACAGCAATATTAAGAGGCTGATAAAAAAGCATTTGATGCCGTCTTGTTGAAAGTGTCTTTTATCAAATCTAGATATAAAAAAGTAGAATACAAACATATGGCCCTTAAGTGTTCAAGAACATCTTAACAAAAAAATATTCCAGTCTTTCCTACTACATTATTTTTTAAGCCACATGAAGTGCACTTTGGCAAAATTCAGATAGAGCGTATACTATAGAGCAGTCCACACAGAACAATTCAGAAGAACTTTAAGTGAAGACAGCTGCTGCAGTGTTTGCCCTACCAGCCTTCTGTTGACAAACAGAAGGACAAAACTGAATCTCCCCAACAACTGATGGCGAAGTTGTAAGGACTGCAGTGTATCAGAGCTGCAGAAAGCGAGCTCTGCAATTTCATGACTCCTGCTGTGCTGTCTCACTTAAGTCACTCATCACACAATGCTTCGCAGTAAGGTGTAAGAACGCTGTTTAAGGACTGCTCAGGATTTCATTTAGCTCTTCTCTCATTAGTAGTTGCCAGTGAAAATGCTGCCAGCCTCCCTCCATGTTTTAATCACACGCCAGCAAAGATCATATCAGAAGAAAGCAGGAAAAAGTTACAGGAGTGAAAAAGTAAATCACATAAAAAAGCTTTTTCTTGACAAATAATGCAGCTACTAAACAAATTTTAATACCTTGCATATATTAAAAGCCAGCAGTTCTAAAAAACCCTAAGAATACTACTTGCAATAACGGTGTTTACGTGCCTCTCACTTTCAGGACAGCCTCCTGATTTCATATGGCAGTTGGGGTGTGTGTGTATTTAAGTGAGGAACACCAGGAAGCAAAAGAAGGAAAGACTGAGTGTGTTTGATGACAGCTGACTCAGAGCAGGGTGAAGGTAGGATTCGAAGTACAAATGAAAATCTTTTCACAGTAGACTTGCTCAATGATTTCTGCTTCCTCGCCCTTCCACCCCAATTATTATCTACTAATATATTTTAGATAATGCTTTGTAAAGCTAATGAAATCGAGCTTCAATGAAATTGGCAGGCATCTGCTGAGCACAGTCTGCTTCAATACAGACTAGAAGCTTGCAGCAGGCTGCCTGGCAGGATGCTTTTTGTTCTGAAGAAGCATCAAAGTATTTTCCTCATCTTAAGATTTGGTAAACTCTCAAAAAGCTTTTAATAATACAGTAGTTATGCGTTATCAATTCTTTTTAAAAAAACCTCTTAATATTCACCACTTAAGACTCTGGTTTTAACTGACTACATTATTTCACTTAATGCATTATTGAGAGGTTTACTGTCCAGGAGACAGGTTGGGACCACTGTGATCCATCAAGTGGTCCATTTCTTAAAGATAGCAGTTTAGATAATGTCAAGAAGGGTTTCAAAATAAGATACTACTAAAATCACGTCATCATGACTGAAGCAATGGGTTTCATCTCAGGCAAAATTCAGGGCAATAATCTAACTTAAATTAGTGTTCCCCATAAAACCCAACATTTCTTGGGGAACAGTCGATGGACAACAGCTTCACTTAATAAAAAGAAAACTTATTTAGAGACACTACACAGTGTTCAGAACTGCAAACAAGTGCATTTTGGATAGGCCATAAGAGTAACTAACAACTTGATGGGTTCATTCCTTCCAAGACTTGATGGACAGCTTAAACAGCATTTTTAAGACACCGACGCTGAACTATCATCACTTCAGGCAGCAGCAAAACCCGTCCAAAGGCATTTCCATCACAGCCAGACAGCTGTTCCGAGATACATGGCAGCCCTGAAACCAAACACTGCTAACTATTGCTACCGACCCTCCCTAATTAGTTTAGAAATAACATCTTCATCGCTCAATACGATTACCCGACTGGGATGCGTGTCGGAAAACACACTGTGCTTTGCAGAGATGTTATTCAAGCCAGCCCTCTTATGGATTTATATATATATATTTTTTTTTTCCCATTTTAAAATTTTCCTCTAGGGCGAGTTCTTCCCCCTCTTTTGCCAGAGCTCTCTAGGAAAGCCGGCAGAGCCCACACCAAGGCCGGCAGCGGGGACACCCGACGGCGGGGGGATGCGGGCCGCGGTGCGGGGAAGGGAAGGGAAGGGGTGGGGGGGGAAGGGAAGGGAAGGGGGGAAGCGTTACCTCCGTTGATGGGGACGGGAGCCACCAGCAGCCCCTTCACCTCCACCTTGGGGGAGTCCTGCCCGTAGCGCCCACGGTCGATGCGCAGCAGCGTGGGGCCGCCCCGCTCGGGGCTCAGCACCGTCACGTTGATGAGGGCGGTGTAATAGGCCTGGCTGGCGTTGTCGGCGCCCACTGGGGGGGGAAGGGAAGGGGGGAAGCGTTACCTCCGTTGATGGGGACGGGAGCCACCAGCAGCCCCTTCACCTCCACCTTGGGGGAGTCCTGCCCGTAGCGCCCACGGTCGATGCGCAGCAGCGTGGGGCCGCCCCGCTCGGGGCTCAGCACCGTCACGTTGATGAGGGCGGTGTAATAGGCCTGGCTGGCGTTGTCGGCGCCCCCCCGGCCGTGCCACAGCAACAGCAGCAGCGGCAGCAGCAGCAGCAACGGGACGGAGGAGCCGCCGTTCCGGTGCTGGCGAGCCCACCGCCAGCTCATCTTCGACTCCCGACGGCCGATCACCGGCGTTTGCCGCCTCCGCCGCCCGAGCCCCGCACGCCCCGGGAAGGAGGGGGGGTGTGTTTTATCCCATCTGACAGCACAGGAACGGAGAAGGACCGAAAGCAGGCGATGTGGGGTGGCGGTGGGGAGGAGGAGAGCACGGGCTCATGCCATGGGAGGAGCCAGGGGAATCACGGCAGGTCCCAGCCGAGTCCGATCCGCCGGTGGCGGCCCCTCCGGGGGGACGCTGCTCGGGGCGAGCCCCGCTCCGCCGGCCCCTCAGGGCGCCGCGCTCATAGCGCCCGCCCGCCTCTGCCCGCGCCGGGCCAGGGGAGGGAAGGGGAGGGGAGGAGGCGGGGGCGGCGCCGCGGCCCCCTCCCCGCACAGCCCCGCGCCGGCACCGAGGAGGCCGCCGGGAAGAACCGCCGCCGCTTCAGTGGCGCTCACACCCGGCCGCGGGGCTCGCTTCGCTTCGCTGACTCGCTGCCGCCTTAGTGCGGCGGGCGGCGCATGCCGCTGTCCCAGGCTGGCGGCCGCAGCCGGTGAGCCGGCTTACTCCATGCTCGGCTGAGTCCCGGAGAAGCGGCGGGAGTGTCGGTGTCGTTGTCGTCGTCTCGCCCCGCGCCTTTCCCGCAGCCGCACAACGCTCCGCCGCCGGCTCCGCGCCCGCCCGGCGCCTCGACTGCAGCCCGCCGCTCCCCGCACTGCGCAGGCGCGCCCCGCCCCGCCCCGCGCCACGAGGGCGGGAGGCGGAGCTCGGGGGAAAACCACGCCCACTAAAGGGCGGGGTTAGAGAAAGGGGCGTGGTTTTGTCGGATGACGTCACCGGGGCGTGGCGGCGGGGAGGAAGGCAGCCATGGCGGCGGTGGGAGCATCCCCCCGCATCTGTGAGGAACCTTCGGCTGCGGCGACCCGCGGGTCTTCAAGGAGTTAGGTGTCGGCTCATTAACGTTAATGAAGCTCCTCAGCCTCTTTGAGGTCCATGTCCCCTCGAAATATCCGAGAGGTGGTGGAAAAGCCTGTCTGAATTCTGGGGTGAAAAAGGGCTGAATGTGTCAAAAAGAGGTGTGTGTGTGTGGGTGTTCAGGCCACCCAGTTTACCCCAAAAGGGCTGCTGCGGCAGGAACTGCGTGTCAGGGTTCGGTCACTCCTGCCTCATCTGGAGTTACTGCCTTCTGGGGTACTGAGATGGGAGCTCTGACAAACACCCAAATGTCGTTAATAAATAGTAATCCCATCAAACACTGTAAAATGGCAATTGATTAATTACTCTCTCTAACTAACACCCTAGTTTGAAGGATTTCAGCCTCGTCACGACCAGAGCAGGAACAAAACAATGCAATGGCCGCCTGGGATTTTGAACGGCAAACTGTCTGGAAATTATTTATGGCAAAGAAAACCCGGCACCGCAGGGCTGTGAGTTAGGCCATTTTTCTCAATTTCTGAACAAATAGCTGCGCTGCTGTTCTTGTGAGATACGGTCTCCTTGGTGACTTTCCCCGGCTGCTGGGGAAGTCCCTCCGATAAGCCTGGTGTTTAACCTAAACTGTTCCCTTCTGGCAGGTTTTGTCGTTTATCCACTCGTGAGGCACCTGGTTGGATAACGCCCTCAAAACAGTCTGCTTATTTCATTGTGATGCAAGTGGTGGGTCTGATCCTGCCCTTGGAGAGACGCCTGCCATTCCTGAGGAGAGCTGTGGCCACCAAACCTGCATCTGGGAGCAGAACTGACCGATGGGCTCTGCTAAAGGTGTGTGGTGCCATAAAACCCTCTGAGAAGCTGTTGATGAAAAGCTCTATACAAACGTCAGTATGATCCAGGAAATGTTTCTGAAGCAGCCACTTTTATTACTTGTTTAAATTTTGCCCTTCTTGGTAAATTCTGGGTGAGGAACCACATGCCATTAATGGCTTCTCAACATTTCAGTCAACCTTTCAGCCCAGCAGGAGGGTGAGCGTGGTGGCAAACACAGTGATCCTGCATCGGGCAGGACATGTTTCAGAGCCGTCATTCTTGCAGCACAGACAGTAATTTGAAGTTTCAGCTCTGCATCATTTCGATGAAAAGTCATGTGCTTTGTTGCTGAAATGTCCTAAGAAGGGGCCAGAGAGTCTCAAGAGCCTGGAGGATTTCTTATTGTTCGTCGAATCATAGAATGGTTAGAGAGCACCGTCACGTTGATGAGGGCGGTGTAATAGGCCTGGCTGGCGTTGTCGGCGCCCACCCGGCCGTGCCACAGCAACAGCAGCAGCGGCAGCAGCAGCAGCAACGGGACGGAGGAGCCGCCGTTCCGGTGCTGGCGAGCCCACCGCCAGCTCATCTTCGACTCCCGACGGCCGATCACCGGCGTTTGCCGCCTCCGCCGCCCGAGCCCCGCACGCCCCGGGAAGGAGGGGGGGTGTGTTTTATCCCATCTGACAGCACAGGAACGGAGAAGGACCGAAAGCAGGCGATGTGGGGTGGCGGTGGGGAGGAGGAGAGCACGGGCTCATGCCATGGGAGGAGCCAGGGGAATCACGGCAGGTCCCAGCCGAGTCCGATCCGCCGGTGGCGGCCCCTCCGGGGGGACGCTGCTCGGGGCGAGCCCCGCTCCGCCGGCCCCTCAGGGCGCCGCGCTCATAGCGCCCGCCCGCCTCTGCCCGCGCCGGGCCAGGGGAGGGAAGGGGAGGGGAGGAGGCGGGGGCGGCGCCGCGGCCCCCTCCCCGCACAGCCCCGCGCCGGCACCGAGGAGGCCGCCGGGAAGAACCGCCGCCGCTTCAGTGGCGCTCACACCCGGCCGCGGGGCTCGCTTCGCTTCGCTGACTCGCTGCCGCCTTAGTGCGGCGGGCGGCGCATGCCGCTGTCCCAGGCTGGCGGCCGCAGCCGGTGAGCCGGCTTACTCCATGCTCGGCTGAGTCCCGGAGAAGCGGCGGGAGTGTCGGTGTCGTTGTCGTCGTCTCGCCCCGCGCCTTTCCCGCAGCCGCACAACGCTCCGCCGCCGGCTCCGCGCCCGCCCGGCGCCTCGACTGCAGCCCGCCGCTCCCCGCACTGCGCAGGCGCGCCCCGCCCCGCCCCGCGCCACGAGGGCGGGAGGCGGAGCTCGGGGGAAAACCACGCCCACTAAAGGGCGGGGTTAGAGAAAGGGGCGTGGTTTTGTCGGATGACGTCACCGGGGCGTGGCGGCGGGGAGGAAGGCAGCCATGGCGGCGGTGGGAGCATCCCCCCGCATCTGTGAGGAACCTTCGGCTGCGGCGACCCGCGGGTCTTCAAGGAGTTAGGTGTCGGCTCATTAACGTTAATGAAGCTCCTCAGCCTCTTTGAGGTCCATGTCCCCTCGAAATATCCGAGAGGTGGTGGAAAAGCCTGTCTGAATTCTGGGGTGAAAAAGGGCTGAATGTGTCAAAAAGAGGTGTGTGTGTGTGGGTGTTCAGGCCACCCAGTTTACCCCAAAAGGGCTGCTGCGGCAGGAACTGCGTGTCAGGGTTCGGTCACTCCTGCCTCATCTGGAGTTACTGCCTTCTGGGGTACTGAGATGGGAGCTCTGACAAACACCCAAATGTCGTTAATAAATAGTAATCCCATCAAACACTGTAAAATGGCAATTGATTAATTACTCTCTCTAACTAACACCCTAGTTTGAAGGATTTCAGCCTCGTCACGACCAGAGCAGGAACAAAACAATGCAATGGCCGCCTGGGATTTTGAACGGCAAACTGTCTGGAAATTATTTATGGCAAAGAAAACCCGGCACCGCAGGGCTGTGAGTTAGGCCATTTTTCTCAATTTCTGAACAAATAGCTGCGCTGCTGTTCTTGTGAGATACGGTCTCCTTGGTGACTTTCCCCGGCTGCTGGGGAAGTCCCTCCGATAAGCCTGGTGTTTAACCTAAACTGTTCCCTTCTGGCAGGTTTTGTCGTTTATCCACTCGTGAGGCACCTGGTTGGATAACGCCCTCAAAACAGTCTGCTTATTTCATTGTGATGCAAGTGGTGGGTCTGATCCTGCCCTTGGAGAGACGCCTGCCATTCCTGAGGAGAGCTGTGGCCACCAAACCTGCATCTGGGAGCAGAACTGACCGATGGGCTCTGCTAAAGGTGTGTGGTGCCATAAAACCCTCTGAGAAGCTGTTGATGAAAAGCTCTATACAAACATCAGTATGATCCAGGAAATGTTTCTGAAGCAGCCACTTTTATTACTTGTTTAAATTTTGCCCTTCTTGGTAAATTCTGGGTGAGGAACCACATGCCATTAATGGCTTCTCAACATTTCAGTCAACCTTTCAGCCCAGCAGGAGGGTGAGCGTGGTGGCAAACACAGTGATCCTGCATCGGGCAGGACATGTTTCAGAGCCGTCATTCTTGCAGCACAGACAGTAATTTGAAGTTTCAGCTCTGCATCATTTCGATGAAAAGTCATGTGCTTTGTTGCTGAAATGTCCTAAGAAGGGGCCAGAGAGTCTCAAGAGCCTGGAGGATTTCTTATTGTTCGTCGAATCATAGAATGGTTAGAGCTGGAAAGGACCTTAAAGATCATCCAGTTCCAAACCCCCTGCCCTGGGCAGGGATACCTCCCACCAGACCAGGTTGCTCCAAGCCCCATCCAACCTGGCCTTGAACCCCTCCAGGGATGGGGCATCCACAGTTTCTCTGGGCAACCTGGGCCAGTGTCTCACCACCCTCCTATTCCTGCATTGACCTTCAGAGAAGGCTCTCCAAGCACTTCTGAGATTTGAGTATTTCTCAAAAAGTATTTGAGAAAACATTCGTTAGGTTTCTACTGGAGATAGACAGCATGCTGTGCTCCAGTCTCCGTGCAGGGCTGCCAGCTCGGTCCCATCTCTCACGGAGCAGGAGCCGGGAGGTTGCCCCATGCCACATGCCCATCTGTGCTCTCCTCCCCTGCCTCCCAGCCTGTCCTGTGCCATCACCACTGGCCCATCACTGCCAAAGCCACCATTAAACCATGCCCCTCGGGACCACATCTGCACATCTTCTAAATACCTCCAGGGATGGCAATTCCAACACTTCCCTGGGCAGCTTGTGATGTTTGATAACCCTTTCTGACAATATTTTTTTCCTAAACCTCCCGTGGTGCAACTTGAGGCTGTTTCCTCATGTCCTGTTGCCTGTTCCTTGGGAGAAGAGACTGACCCCCCTGGCTACACCCTCCTTTCAGGGAGTTGTAGAGAGCAACAAGGTCTCCCCTTAACTTTCTTTTCTCCAGGTTAAACACCTCAGCTCCCTCAGCTGCTCCTCACAGGACTTGTTCTCCAGACCTCTCACCCCCCTCATTGCCCTTCTCTGGACTTGCTCCAGCACCTCAGTATCTTTCTTGTAGCGAGTGGCCCCAAAGTGAACATACGGATTTATGGTCATAAATCCATTTAAGTTCCATCTCCCGCAGCACGTTTCCTTCAGCCCAAGATCCCGCCCGTAACCCACACCCGGCCCTTGGCTTTCCTGTCAGGTTATACCTGCCCAAAGGCCCGCCCCGCCGCCATCTTCCCTCCGACCCGCCGCCGCCGGGCTGAGGGCGCCCCCTGCGGGGCGCCGCCGCCATGGCGTCTGGGGAGGGGGCTGAGGAGAAGGGGTCGTCCCGGGGGGCCCCGCCGCCCTCCGTTCCTCCCGGGGGCCGTCAC